AATAAACACCCTGTGTTTATTAAACATATGGCCCTTCACCCACTTAATGAATAAGGCTTTTACCTGGGTTTAGGAAGCAATAATCAAAATTTTGAATATCATATGAGAAAACTATATCTTCTCATAAATGAACATCTAATAAAATAGATGCCAGTTTTTACATCAGAAAATAGATCCCTATGCGAGTATATATCCTTTGGGAAAACGTTTCCCCGTTTGGTGAAAATGAAGATTCATCAATAACTGCAAGTCAATTAACATGCTCCTGATCAATACGACACTGAAAGGTTTGTCTTCATTGTTTTCAAAAAATTTGCTCAAATTATTATTTGTCCGATAAACCACTTTCAATCTGTCCCCTATTCAAAACACGAGCGATGTTATTTGAGGGTTCACCAAAGTATGTCAATGTCCTATGACGCTTATAATTGGTGATTGAAGTGGGATAGACTTGGTAAGTAGCTTATTTCATCAGTTTTTTTGAAGAATGGAGTCAATAATATCTACTTTCTAACATCGATTCATTTTATAAAATGTAGATATTTCTGAAAGTTACTTTCTGACAGAGGATTTTTCAATATTCTGTTAAGCTTACTATTGAACGCTTCTGTTTCACTACAGGATTAACATGTTTTCTGTCTATGAGACGTTCAACCAGACATCAAACGATATGAATTTTGCTGCAGGAAGAGTGATATTTCAATTGTTATTCACTACTACTCATAGTTAATCCCATGAATACTACTTATTGAAAATTGTAATCAGTCGTCTAAGCATTTCTGAAATTTCTGCAGATGGAGCCGTTACAAATGACAACACAAGCCTAATTCACAACACAACAAAAAAATATTTTTTGAATGTTTCCTACACTAAATTAGTCAATTTCTACTAATTTTGGGGTGATAGAAACGAAAATAACAATGAAAAATTTTTATTAGCTCTGGTTTTTGAGATACACAGTACTTAATCTTAAAGAGTAGTTATACTATACGTGAAAAGTGAAAGTACATAAAACAATATTGTTATGTTTCTTTTAGAATA